CTGGTCCCCCCACAGCTCCCCCGTTAAGGCGGGGGTCCCTCTCTGTCCCCACTGCCACCAGCCCCGCAGCTCCAGCCTCGTTGTTCAGGCCCCACCTCGGAGGGAAGCGAGAGCCCCAAGAAATAATCACGGGGTGCAGCGCTGAGCACCCCTCTGCCACCATGCAGAAGCAAAGGTCCCTGCTCCGAATGCGACAGAGGCAACCTCGAGCTTGGACAGCCCACCGGGACCAGTGCCCTCCAGTTTGAACCAGCACACGCAGGGCCAGGACTGCTGGGACCTGCAAGTCCTGCTATGAGGGCTGCATGGGGTCGTCAGGCCAGACCAGTACAGGTCGCTGAGCTGGCTCACGGACGTGGGGCTGTGGGGCCACCATAACGTCCAGTGCCTCAGTTTCCCCATCTGCGCAAAGGTGCTTTTCTGCAGCGCCAGGACTCAGCATGGCAGCACACAGCGCGGGGAAAGCCCTCCCTCGGAGGCTGCTGTGCTTTTGGGGTGCATTCACCCAAACTTCTCCAGGTGTCCATCTTCCCTGCTGCCTAGAGGGTCCCCATGACAGAGAGGAGGTCCCACGCTGTGACCGGACAGGGACCTCGTCAAGGATCAGCAGAAACTCTTACTGAAGCTAGTGCCTTCCCGAGCGCATCTCCCGAGCTCCCAGCTGTGGTTCCTCTGTTACCTGCCGAGAGAGGACACAGACGTCACTGCCGGGGCGCAGACACCCCGCAGGACCCGGCACCCGTACGAGACCTTCTCCGGGGTCACCCGCTCGGAGACTGAAATTCCTCCCTCCCACCGCCTTGCTCCAAAATTAAGTGGAGTGGCCCGGAGGAGGGCACGCAGGCCCCGGCAGCTTTCGTGGGGCTGGAGGAACGTAAGACGCTGCGACGACGGCTTTGGGCCATCGACAGCAACCAGATGTCTCTGCTGCAGCGTGGACCATTTCCACGGGGCATCTTCAGCCCCTACAATCCCAGACTTGCTTCCTCTCCTCTAAACTTTAATTTGTTTTAGAAAAATGTAGAAAAACATTGTTTCAGAAAAATTTTTAGAAAAATGTAGAAAAAATTTGTTTTAGAAAAATTTTGTTTTAGAAAAATGTGGAAAAAAATCGTTTTAGGAAAATTTTGTTTTAGAAAAATGTAGAAAAAATTTGTTTTAGAAAAATTTGTTTTAGAAAATCAGTTTTTCTACAAATCAGGGTCAGGATCCTGGTTCCCTGGGGAACACGAGTTCAGTTCAGTAACAGGTTATGGAGCAGGTTCGGCAGGGCTGGGGGTTACAGCACTCGGGGGTTTAAGGCAGCGTCCAGGCGCAGCACTAACACGGCTT